GCTACTGCAATGATCTTTATTCAAAAACACATCCATCATGCACTGCAGACTGAGTATCTCGCTAAGGAGGACCTACGCACCCTTTAGCTTGCTCTGGTCGACCGTTTCGATCACCATAAAGACATATACTTGCCTGAAGCAAGACACGACTAGCAGCATCTTTGTTTCTAGGACATTAAGTCCGTGAATGAATACAACTCTGAAGTTTGTAGAATCCGTTCACTGTTGAAATTTTGCAAAGTGGAACTAACTGAATCAGATCTCCTCGACATTTCATGCCACCAATATTGTCATGCAGCAACAATATAGGGCACAAAAATTCACCAAGTTTTCAAATTTGATCTCTGTTTTACTTCTTACTGAAAAGAAAAACCATCTTTTGATGAAAAATCATCAAGCTCGACCGACTGGCTCGAACACTGCGCCTGAAGCGCATGCGATAGATTCTAGCAACCATAAACGACGAAAGAGTCGTCATGGCCATAGCAATGGGCGGCAAGCCCCACCACGTGCCTAAGGTCAATAGAGTGCCACACCTAAGGGAGGAAATGTGACCCAACAACATCCACCACTTGCCCCTAAGACCTCAAACTTCAAGAACAAGGGCAAACCTCCCGTTCAACCTGATTCTACTGAACTGGACATATGCTACCGTTGTGAATCAAGAGATCATTGGTCACGCATATGCCAAGCTTCCCCTGAGGCTATTGCCAAGTATCATTCATGTTGTGAGTCTAACTTTGCACATGTGGATCATCCAGAAGATGCAACTACATCAATGGAGATATCGAATTTTCAAGAGGCGTTAGCTTATATGGATGAATAAATTAGACATGTTTTTAGGGTGTTTACCCCTAGTGGCCAAGCCCACTAGGAGTAGCCGGCCTTACCCCCTAGTTTTCTAGGTTTATGGTTTAATTTAGAACAATTTTTACAAGTATTTGGAATAATTTGTTTGGTTTTGGTTTGTTTTGAATTATGGGTTGTTATTTGAATGGATATTATTTTCTCAAATTGCTTAATTGAATGAAATATTTATGCATGTGACCAATTCAATCAATTTATTTCTAGGTATGTCTAGTGAGGAAGTCAGTTGTCTGGCAGATAGTGCAACCACACACATCATCTTGCGTGAATGACACTATTTTACTAACTTAATACCCAAGAAAGCTCATTTGACAACTCTCTCAAGCCCATCCAACCTGATTGAAAGATACGGAAAAACCTGTATCATGTTGTCCAATGGTACTATCTTAACCATTAATGAGGCACTCTATTATCCACGTTCTGGAAGAACGTTGCTGAGTTTTAGAGATATTTGAGATAATCAATATCATATTGAAACCACTGAAGATAATGGTTCTGAATTCCTTTGTATCACTTCATACGAATATGGCCAGAAGCGTATTCATGAGAAGTTGGAATGTCTGCCGAGTGGGTTGTACATCACAACCATTCGTGGCATAGAAGCCCACAGTGTGGCCGGCCCTATGCTTGAGTTCCAGTACACTTTGTTGCTTGGGCATGACCGTTTAGGACATCCTGGACGTGACATGACACGCTGTATCCTCAAATCTTCACATTGGCATAGGTTACATTCCTATGTTGGACTCCCGCCATGCAAAGCATCTTCTTTAGGGAAGTTAAATACTCAACCCTTACATACAAAGATTATTCACGACCCCCCTAAGTTTCTTCAGAAGATTCAATGGGACATTTGTAAACCTATCCAACCAACCTACAGACCATTTAGATACTTTATGGTGTTGGTTGATGCATCGAGACAATAGTCACATGTTTGTCTGTTGTCCATATGTAACGCTGCGTTTGCGAAATTCGTAGCTCAAATCATTAAGCTAAGGGTTCACCACCCTGATTATCCGATTAAGTCAATTTGACTAGATAACGTTGGAGAGTTTACGTCACAGACTTTTGACGATTATTGCATGTTAATAGGGATTGATATGGAACATCATGTACCCCATGGTCACACCCAAAATGGCCTGGCAAAAGCTTTCATAAAGTGCCTTCAATTGATAGCTCAGACTTTGGTTATAAGAACTAAATTGCTGGTATCTGCCTGGGTTATGCAATATTGCAAGAAACTATGTTGGTCTGCCTGATGCCTACTGTTACCTAACCACATTTATTGTTATAGTTAGTAACTGGATACGGTCCTGACATCTTGCATTTACTGGTGTTTGGGAGTGCCATTTATGTGCCAATAGCACCGCCGCTACGTACCAAAATGGGTCTTCAGAGAAAACTGGGAATCTATGTCGGTTATGATTCGTCATCAATTGTTCGTTACTTAGAACCTTTGACAAAATATCTCTTTATCGCACATTTTACAGATTGTCACTTTGATGAGACAGTATTCTCGTTGTTAGGGGGAGATAGGCATGTTAACATTCAGATTGTCACTTTGTTGCAACGTTTTAATGAGGATAAAGCAAAGCCTTCAAGTACACCCATGGTCGTTCGGACTCTAAATACTAAACGAGATCCCTTCCGTCCAAATGAGGATGAGGAAGAGATTTTGGAACCCGAAATTCCATACCTAAGTGCAATTGGGGTTTTATTATGCTTGGCTCAGTGCACTAGACCCGACATCTCTTTCGCTGTTAATATTTTGGTAAGATACAGTAATGCGCCCACACGTAGGCACTGGAATGGTGTTAAAGACATTTTTCGCTACCTTAAGGGTATTACGGATTTGGGCTTGTTCTATACCCGCGAATCTTCGAGTGTTGCCGCCCCCTATGGTTCCTGAATTGATTCTCGCCTTGTTGGTTATGTAAATGCTGGATATCTGTCTGACCCACATATGGCATATTCTCAAACAGGTTATGTCTTTACTGTTGGAGACACCGCTGTATCTTGGACTAAGCAAACGCTAATTGCGACTTTGTCGAACCATGCTGAATTCTCACCCTACATGAAGCATCGCGTGAATGCTTTTGGCTGAGAAAAGTTATGGAACATATTTGAAGCACTAGTAGTCTTACATCAGTTGTTAACCTTCCTACGACGATCTTTGAAGACAATGTAGCATGTATCGAGCAGTTACAGAAGGGATACATCAAGGAAGACAACACCAAGCACATAGTGCCGAAGTTCTTTTACTCACACCAGCGGTAGCAGCATCAGAACATTGAAGTTAAGCAAATTCATTCTCAGGACAACCTGGTTGATCTCTTCACCAAGTCGTTGCCAAAGTCTACTTTTCAAAAGCTCGTCCAAGGAATCGGTATGCGTAAATTATCTGAGTTGAATCACTTGTAGTTCTCTTATTTAAAAGTTATGTTTAACTCAGGGGGAGTATCTAGAAACATACTCACATGATCTTAATGTACTCTTTTTCCTACGATTAGGAGCATTTTTCCCACTGGGTTTTTGCTACCTAACGAAGTTTTAATGAGGCACCCATCCTGGGATGATCATACTCTAGTGAATTCACTACTTTCGTCTTGTTTGACGCTTGTTTTAGACATTATGCATACTTCTCACTTTTCTCCTTAGTCTATAGGTTTTCCCCATGCCTTAGGTTTTACCATAACGAGGTCTTGTGAGTTTTACTACAAATGCATACTTTCTTAAATTTGAGACTCGCATTCACCCATTATGCTGATGACTTCATCAACTATTCTACCTTACCTGTTGAAGATCTAATACGATGGTTTGTTGAGTATTTACACACTCAGGGGGGAGTGTTGTAGTCATATTTAGAATAGGAATATGATTGTGTAAATCCTATTAGATATGAGAATGTATCTTATATTCCTATTAGGAGTTGATTACCTATTAAATGTTGTAATCCTAAATGATAAGGTTTTTGCCTATCCTATTACTATAAATAAAAGTACAGTGCGATGATACAAACACAATTCACAATTAAATCACTTTATTCTCTCTCTAATTGCCGCCAGCCCTCTCTCTTTCAACCTTAAGAGTAGCTACAGCGAGAGCTCCTGTTCGAGGGACAGGCTCCGGAACAGGGCTTGATTGCCTGAGGAAAGAAGTCCAGCGTTGGCTGGCGAGGGAGCCCGAGCACCCCCGAGCGCTAGGCCCGTCGATTCTTGCCGGCCTAAGAGCCTGGGGTGGGTCTGAAGTCAGCTGACGTCAGACGCCTATTTTAATGTTTTTTTTCTGTCAGGCCTCGAACTCCTCCAACATTACGCCGATCTCGTCCACTATCCCCATCCTTTCCAGCTCCAGCGGTGGTCACGGTGGAGGAGGAGAAGGAGCTGACGGATGATTCGGAGCATGCGATTCCGGCGTCTGCGATGCGAGAGACGGAGATTGTGCAGCGGAGGACGTGGCGGTGGAGGAGAAGAAAGGGAGGAAGAGGAGGGCAATGGCCTTAATTTTGATGCAAGTCGGAGTCTTTAGCATGTCTGTGGCGGTGGCCGCGACGGCTGTCATGATTGGATTGGATTTTATTTTCTCGGCTTCAATGGTGGATCACCCAAATTGTGATATGATGATGCATGCAAGAGAATGAGAGAGATTAAAGATAGAGTGAGGTTTCAAAAATGAGGGGGGTTGCGTCGTAAAGAGAGAGAGGGAGAGAAATGAGAGACAGAGGGCTAGGAAACATGAAGAGTGTTCTGGAAAAAAAATTAGAGAATGGTTGTCGGTTGAGTTTGGAAAAATGAAATGGAAAAGGAATAGGAAAAAAGAAAAAGGAAAACAATTAAAAATTATTTTGTATTATTTAAATACTAATATTTTATTACCAATTGCTAGGGCTATTTAGTGTAGGGGTGGAGATGCAAAAAACAATTGCCAGGGGAATGCACTATTCATTAAAGGCAGTTATTGTTCACTTGGTGGATTAAATAGTGAATAGCCTAGAGAGAGGGCTCCTACACGGGAGTTGCTCTAAAATCGTTCAATCAAATAGGCGTACAATCGCGTGTGCACATATATATATATATATATATATATATATATATATATATATATAATCAATTATTAATATCACCCAGCACAAAAAAAAATTATTGTGCCCAATAATAAAGTGAAGTTCTGAAATTAACCGACTCCTCTATCCCCTTCTTTCCCTTTCTTTTTGAGACAGACCTCCCAACTCCTCTCCCTTCCCTCCTTTCTCTCCTCCCCATCTTTACCTCACCTCGTTCGCGCAACAGCGCCGCTGCACACCGGTCATCAACGATCGTAAAATTATACCTCCAGAATCCTCTTTCCGTCCTCTTTCCATCCCCAAGTTAGTTTATGCAAATTTGTAGCTGAATTTTCTGAATTTCAGATCTAAGAAATGGTGACCGCGACTTTCCGGCCAAGATTGCCGGAATTGGACCACGACCCAAGAATTAAAAACGATCCTCTCCTCTGGGCTGTCCTCCAACGTAAGTGATTTTTCAAAATAAAAACTTTCAGTTTTGGGATCTAATGATTTCAAAAATATTTGAATTTATAGTAGCCATCTGTATGTGTATTTATTTATTTATTGTGTATTGAACATAGAAACCTGATTTTGTTCGAGAATTTTGGAATTTGAATTTGGTTACTGGGTAGTGGAAGCTAATTTTGTTTTTTTTTTTTCTGTTCTATTCGGCAAAACTTTGGTTTTGAGATTAGTATCTGGCAAATGTAGTAATTTGGTTTTTGTTTCTGGAAATGTTGGCGCATCCACAGGAACCTTCATTCCAAAACTCATATTTATAATAGGGGAATCTTATCGAGAAGATCTTGCTAATGGTTCGAAGAAAGCTTCTTTTTAGGTTCATTCTTCATATATCTATTTATTTTTCAAATTCATTCTTCAGATTCTATTTGTTTTTCAGGTTCAGTTGGAGAAATGGCTCCTGCTATTCCTGGTGTGCCTGATAGGTCAACAACAACAACAAAGCCTTTTCCCACTAAGTGGGGTCGGCTATATGAATCCTAGAACGCCATTGCGCTCGGTTTTGTGTCATGTCCTCCGTTAGATCCAAGTACTCTAAGTCTTTTCTTAGAGTCTCTTCCAAAGTTGTCCTAGGTCTTCCTCTACCCCTTCGGCCCTGAACCTCTGTCCCGTAGTCACATCTTCGAACCGGAGCGTCAGTCGGCCTTCTTTGCACATGTTCAAAATCACCGGAGCCGATTTTCTCTCATCTTTCCTACAATTTCGGCTACTCCTACTTTACCTCGGATATCCTCATTCCCAATCTTATCCTTTCTTGTGTGCCCACACATCCCACGAAGCATCCTCATCTCCGCTACACCCATTTTGTGTACGTGTTGATGCTTCACCACCCAACATTCTGTGCCATACAACATCGCTAGCCTTATTGCCGTCCTATAAAATTTTTCCCTTGAGCTTCAGTGGCCTACGACGGTCACACAACACGCCGGATGCACTCTTTCCATCCAGCTCGTATTCTATGGTTGAGATCTCCATCTAATTCTCCGTTCTCTTGCAAGATAGATCCTAGGTAGCGAAAACGATCGCTTTTTGTGATCTTCGCTAGATTGCTCCGGTCATTAGTGTGGATAAGTATATAAATGGATAGAGATAAGAAAGCAAACACAAGATGTACGTGGTTCACCCAGATTGGCTACGTCCACGGAATAGAAGAGTTCTCATTAATTGTGAAGGGTTTACACAAGTACATAGGTTCAAGCTCTCATTTAGTGAGTACAAGTGAATGATTTAGTACAAATGACATTAGGAAATATTGTGGGAGAATGATCTCGTAATCACGAAACTTCTAAGTATCGGAGTGTGGTGTCGTCTTGACTTGCCTTATCTGTCTCATAGGTAGATGTGGCATCTTCTCTGGAAGTACTCTTCCTCCATCCAGGGGTGGTATCTTTAACTGGTGGAGATGCACAAGGTAATGTATCAATTTCACTTGAAGCTTACTTGTAGTTTCAGGCTTGGTCAAGCGCGATATGGGATACTTTTGCTTTTGACAGAGTAATGAATGTATCGGCACGTGTGCTGTTACGCTTGTCTCCACATGCTTCCTTGTATCCTTCGCACTTGCCCTATCTGTTCCTCAAGCAGATGCGGAATCTTCCCTGGAAACATAAGATGTTGAAGATGAGTACTCGAGAGCAATGCCAGGTAAGTAATCAGGTAAGGGGTTCCAGGCAGTCAGTTCCTGGCTGGAAGCTTGATTCCAAGTGCTGACTGATTGCTCTCTTTCTCCTTGTCTTGCAGGTAAAAACAAGGCCAAAAGAAAAGACAGGAAAAAAGCATGATATGGGATACTCTTGCTTTTAACCCTGATGATATGAGATATTCTTGCTCTAGTATAGCTTGTTTGCAGAGGTATTATCGGGGGGAAAGAAAGCTGAATATTTCGAAAGGCTTCGTTGGGAGTGCCCTCTCAGATATGATGAAGGGTTGAGCATTTTTGTAGGTCTGCCTGTCCGTTGGGGATGGAGGTCGACATATATAGGAGTCTCCCTAACAACAAGTAGTAATGCTATTCCTTTACCCTGCTTGGTCATAGCACGGTAGTGGGAGCTGCCAGTTTCACATGTTTTAACTCTGTCAGAGCACTTTGAAAAAGTGGTATGTGGTATCTGGCTCTCGAGATTCGGAGAACGATGCCTCTTCGATTTTTGAGAAAGCAATCATGCTGGGGGTATGACTCTCGAGATTCGGAGAGCAGTGTCTCTTCGATTTTTGAGGAAGTAATCATGTTGGGAGTCTGGCTCTCGAGATTCGGAGGGTGGTGCCTCTTCGATTTTGGAGCAAGCAATCTTGTTGGGAGTGTTGTCTCGAATGTGAGTAAAGGTTGGGCATGTTTGCTAGTCTACCTTGCCACGAAGCACAAAGGTTGACACACAGGGACTTTCCAATTATCCAGCAATGGTACTGTTCCTTTACCCTCTCTTCGATTTTGAGAAAGTAGTCATGTTGGGAGTCTGGCTCTCGAGATTCGGAGGACGGTGCCTCTTCGATTTTGGAGCAAGCAATCTTATTGGGAGTGTTTTCTCGAATGTGAGTAAAGGTTGGGCATGTTTGCTAGTCTACCTTGCCACGAAGCACAGAGGTTGACACACAGGGACTTTCCAATTATCCAGCAGTGGTACTGTTCCTTTACAGTTGTGGGTAATAATATGGTAGCTAGACCTTCAAAATTTATGTGTCTAAACTTTTGTTAGTGCTGTTTCTTTGCTATTCTTTTACCTTTCTTGGTCAGAGCGATGTAGTGGGAGCTGCAAGCTTCACGTGCTCAACTTTGGCAGAGAACTTTGGCAAAGTTATTTGTGGTACCCATGAGCTATTGTTGCGTGTGGGAAGTGGGTGATTGAACAGTAAGATTCATGTGCTTTCTACTTCACCAGAAGTCTTCGACAGAATGCCCATAATTTCTGCAAAGCTGAGTGTGCGTGTGACAGGTGTTGACAAGGCTAGAAAAGTAGGGCCTCTTCGATTTCTGAGATCGGCCCTCGTGGTCTCTGAGCAGCCCAGCTTTTGAGAAAGCGAGCGCCTCTTCGATTGATTCGGAGAACGATGCCTCATCGATTTTTGAGAAAGCAATCATGCTGGGGGTCTGGCTCTCGAGATTCGGGGAGCAGTGTCTCTTCGATTTTTGAGAAAGTAATCATGTTGGGAGTCTGGCTCTCGAGATTCGGAGGGCGGTGCCTCTTCGATTTTGGAGCAAGCAATCTTGTTGGGAGTGTTTTCTCGAATGTGAGTAAAGGTTGGGCATGTTTGCTAGTCTACCTTGCCACGAAGCACAGAGGTTGACACACAGGAACTTTCCAATTATCCAGCAATGGTACTGTTCCTTTTACCCTCTCTTCGATTTTTAAGAAAGTAGTCATGTTGGGAGTCTGGCTCTCGAGATTCGGAGGACGGTGCCTCTTCGATTTTGGAGCAAGCAATCTTATTGGGAGTGTTTTCTCGAATGTGAGTAAAGGTTGGGCATGTTTGCTAGTCTACCTTGCCACGAAGCACAGAGGTTGACACACAGGGACTTTCCAATTATCCAGCAGTGGTACTGTTCCTTTACCCTTGTGGGTAATAATATGGTAGCTAGACCTTCAAAATTTATGGGTCTAAACTTTGTTAGTGCTGTTTCTTTGCTATTCTTTTACCCTTCTTGGTCAGAGCGATGTAGTGGGAGCTGCAAGCTTCACGTGCTCAACTTTGGCAGAGAACTTTGGCAAAGTTATCTGTGGTACCCATGAGCTATTGTTGCGTGTGGGAAGTGGGTGATTGAACAGTAAGATTCATGTGTTTTTTCTACTTCCCCAGAAGTCTTTGACAGAATGCCCATAATTTCCGCAAAACTGAGTGTGCGTGTGACAGGTGCTGACAAGGCTGGAAAAGGCTGGAAAAGTAGGTGCCTCTTCGATTTCTGATATCGGCCCTCGTGGTCTCTGGGGAGCCCAGCTTTTGAGAAAGCGAGCGCCTCTTCGATTTTTGAGATCGGCCTTCGTGGTCTTTGAGCAGCCTAACTTTTTGAGAAAGCAAACGCCTCTTCGATTTCTGAGATCAACCCTCGTGATCTCTAAGCAGCCCAGCTTTTGAGAAAGCAAACGCCTCTTCGATTTCTGAGCAGGCGCCTCTTCGATTTCTGAAGCTTCGTCGAGTGCAGATTTTTATAGGGGCTGGCATTAAGTTCCAAAGCACACTTGAATCTCCACCAGTAGAAGCTTCATTCTTGCACTTCTAAGATCTTGATTTGTCCGACCTCTTCTCTCTTCAACACCTTTGAAAATGTCTGGCCCCTCCGACCGTCGTTTTGACTTGAACCTTGTTGAAGAGGCAGCCCCGCCTTCTCCAGACAACATATGGCGCCCATCCTTCGTCTCCCCTACTGGTCCTCTTACCGTTGGGGATTCCGTGATGAAGAATGATATGACCGCTGCGGTGGTGGCCAGGAACCTTCTCACTCCCAAAGATAACAGACTACTTTCCAAACGGTCTGATGAGTTAGCTGTTAAGGATTCGCTGGCTCTCAGTGTTCAGTGTGCAGGTTCTGTGTCTAATATGGCCCAACGCCTATTTGCTCGAACCCGCCAAGTTGAATCATTGGCGGCTGAAGTGATGAGTCTCAAACAGGAGATTAGAGGGCTCAAGCATGAGAATAAACAGTTGCACCGACTCGCACATGACTATGCTACAAACATGAAGAGGAAGCTTGACCAGATGAAGGAAACTGATGGTCAGGTTTTACTTGATCATCAGAGATTTGTGGGTTTGTTCCAAAGGCATTTATTGCCTTCGTCTTCTGGGGCTGTACCGCGTAATGAAGCTCCAAATGATCAACCTCTGATGCCTCCTCCTTCTAGGGTTCTGTCCAGTACTGAGGCTCCAAATGATCCCCCTCCGATGCCTTCTCTTTCTGGGGCTCTACCGACTGCTGAGACTTCTCCTAAGCAACCTTTGTGAAGGCTCCCTCTTGTGTGCTTATTTTGACTCATGTATATGTACATATTTGTAGCTTATCGGGGATATCAATAAATAAGCTTTCCTTCATTTCAACGTATTGTGTTAAATACACCAAAGCCTTCTTCGCTAAGTTCTTTGAATTTTCTTTTGTTAAAGCTTGTATGTTGAAGGTTTCTGAGTGGAGCATGTAGGTTGGGGTAGTGTTCTCTTAATTTCCCGAATGAGGAAAACTTCTCGGTTGGAGACTTGGAAAATCCAAGTCACTGAGTGGGATCGGCTATATGAATCTTAGAACGCCATTGTGCTCGATCCTGTGTCATGTCCTTCGTTAGATCCAAGTACTCTAAGTCTTTTCTTAGAGTCTCTTCCAAAGTTTTCCTAGGTCTTCCTCTACCCCTTCGGCCCTGCAACCTCTGTCCCATAGTCGCATCTTCTAATCGGAACGTCAGTAGGCCTTCTTTGCACATGTCCAAACCACCGTAACCGATTTTCTCTCATCTTTCCTTCAATTTCGGCTACTCCTACTTTACCCCGGATATCCTCATTCCTAATCTTTTCCTTTCTCGTGTGCCCACACATCCAACGAAGCATCCTCATCTCCGCTACACCCATTTTGTGTACGTGTTGATGTTTCACCGCCCAACATTCTGTGCCATACAGCATCGCCGGCCTTATTGCCGTCCTATAAAATTTTCCCTTGAGCTTCAGTGGCATACGGCGGTCACACAACACGCCGGATGCACTCTTCCACTTCATCCATCCAGCTTGTATTCTATGGTTGAGATCTCCATCTAATTCTCCGTTCTTTTGCAAGATAGATCCTAGGTAACGAAAACGGTCGCTCTTTGGTATTTCTTGATCTCCGATCCTCACCCCTAACTCGTTTTGGCCTCCATTTGCACTGAACTTGCACTCCATATATTCTGTCTTTGATCGGCTTAGGCGAAGACCTTTAGATTCCAACACTTCTCTCCAAAGGTTAAGCTTTGCATTTACCCCTTCCTGAGTTTCATCTATCAACACTATATCGTCTGCGAAAAGCATACACCAAGGAATATCATCTTGAATATGTCATGTTAACTCATCCATTACCAACGCAAAAAGGTAAGGACTTAAGGATGAGCCTTGATGTAATCCTACAGTTATGGGAAAGCTTTCGGTTTGTCCTTCATGAGTTCTTACGGCAGTCTTTGCTCCTTCATACATATCCTTTATAGCTTGGATATATGCTACTCGTACTCCTTTCTTCTCTAAAATCCTCCAAAGAATGTCTCTTGGGACCCTATCATACGCTTTTTCCAAATCTATAAAGACCATGTGTAAATCCTTTTTCCCATCTCTATATCTTTCCATCAATCTTCGTAAGAGATAGATTGCCTCCATGGTTGAGCGCCCTGGCATGAACCCGAATTGGTTGTCCGAAACCCGTGTCTCTTGCCTTAATCTATGCTCAATGACTCTCTCCCAGAGCTTCATTGTATGACTCATTAGCTTAATACCCCTATAGTTCATGCAATTTTGTACGTCGCCCTTATTCTTGTAGATAGGCACCAAAGTGCTCATTCGCCACTCATTTGGCATCTTCTTCGTTTTCAAAATCCTATTGAAAAGGTCAGTGAGCCATGTTATACCTGTCTCTCCCAAAAGTTTCCACACTTCGATTGGTATATCGTCTGGGCCTATTGCTTTTTTATGCTTCATCTTCTTCAAAGCTACAACCACTTCTTCCTTCCGGATTCGACGATAAAAAGAGTAGTTTCTACACTCTTCTGAGTTACTCAACTCCCCTAAAGAAGCACTCATTTCATGTCCTTCATTGAAAAGATTATGAAAATAACCTCTCCATCTGTCTTTAACCGCGTTCTCTGTAGCAAGAACATTTCCATCCTCATCCTTGATGCACCTCACTTGGTTTAGGTCCCTTGTCTTCTTTTCCCTTGCTCTAGATAGTTTATAGATATCCAACTCTCCTTCTTTTGGTATCTAGTCGTTTATACATATCGTCGTAAGCCGCTAACTTAGCTTCTCTGACAGCTTTCTTCGCCTCTTGCTTCGCTTTTCTATACCTTTCACCATTTTCATCAGTCCTCTCCTTGTATAAGGCTTTACAACATTCCTTCTTAGCCTTCACCTTTGTTTGTACCTCCTCATTCCACCACCAAGATTCCTTTTGGTGTGGGGCAAAGCCCTTGGACTCTCCTAATACCTCTTTTTGCTACTTTTCGGATACAACTAGCCATGGAATCCCACATTTGGCTAGCTTCCCCCTCTCTATCCCACACACATTGGGTGATTACCTTCTCTTTGAAAATGGCTTGTTTTTCTTCTTTTAGATTCCACCATCTAGTCCTTGGGCACTTCCAAGTCTTGTTCTTTTGTCTTACTCTTTTGATATGTACATCCATCACCAACAAGCGATGTTGATTAGCCACGCTCTCTCCCTGGTATAAACTTTGCAATCCTTACAAGTTATACGATCCCCTTTCCTCATTAGAAGAAAATCTATTTGTGTTTTTGACGACCCACTCTTGTAGGTGATCACATGTTCTTCTCTCTTCTTAAAGAAGGTGTTGGCTAAGAAGAGATCATATGCCATTGCAAAATCCAAGATAGCTTCCCCATCCTCGTTTCTCTCCCCAAAAACCATGGCCACCATGAAAACCTCCATAGTTGCCTGTCTCCCTGCCCACGTGTCCATTTAAAATCTCCTCCTATAAATAACTTCTCCGTCTGAGCAATTCCTTGCACCAAGTCTCCAAGATCTTCCCAAAATTTCTCCTTCGAACTCGTATCCAACCCTACTTGAGGTGCGTACGCACTAATCACATTGATAAGTTCTTGTCCTATTACAATCTTGATTGCCATGATTCTATCTCCTACCCTCTTGACATCTACACAACATCTTGTACCAAGGTCTTGTCCACGATGATGCCAACACCCGTTTCTCGTTCTATTTGTGCCCGAATACCAAAGTTTAAACCCTGAGTTTTCTAGATCCTTTGCCTTACTACCAACCCACTTAGTTTCTTGTAGGCACTTAATATTTATCCTTCTCCTCACCATAACTTCCACTACTTCCATAGATTTTCCCGTTAAGGTTCCTATATTCCACGTTCCTAAACGCATTTTGCTCTCTTGAACTCTATCCTTCTGTCCTAGCTTCTTCACCCTCCCCCGTCTAATAGGATCAAAGTACTTCTTTTGTGTGTCCCGGGTAAAGTTGATAGGAGCATATGCTCCCAAACAACTTTGAGTGGAGTCGTTCGAAAAGAAGTTTCTATGGCCCCCTTGCTCATTTAACACTGCATCCGGGTGCCGATGGAGATACAGCGACCCTTGCTCACTTATCACTGTGCTCAGGCCACACAGCGCGCCACTTACGGGTGACGCCCTAGCTTTAGCGCGATTTTGTTCTGGATTCATTTTCATAATGATTCGACGTGATCATGGAGTGCCGGCTGTCGACTACCTGACGCCCTCCCCCTCCTCCTTTATCCGGGCTTGGGACCGGCCATGTAAGACATAGGCGGAGTTGTGTGCCTGATAGGTTAACAGCACATAATCCATTGAAGGCTCTTGCGGGTGAGAGGGCATACTCTGAGGATTTATGTTGATGAACTTCTCTAGTGAGTTTCATAACTGTGTTATTTTACTAACTTGAGATGCTCGAATTAAGGCTTCTGATAACTATGACAAGTAGAGCAATTAATTGATATACTTATGATCATCAGCTTCAACTAGATTATTCTGTAAGTTTAACCATTGAAAAACTCATCCGGTGAAACTTGAGTTTTTTTCCTTATTACAAAATGTCTTCAACAAAAGTACCTAAGATTATCAACTATGGCTCAATTAAGATATCCTTTGTCATGATTTTCCAAAAAAAAATTCATTTTCATGCTTTTAATGTCCATGTGTACGGATGTTTCAGGTGTTACATTTTCATTATAGGTTTATGTGCGTGCCTGCTAAATTCTCAAATTAATTCTACTTATTGTTCTAGGAAGCTCAAGTTGAACTAGTCATGTTTATGTAGGATTCACGAAGGAAGAAAATCATACCAGACATGACAAAGTCCAAACCTTTATGAGGAGAGATTTTTTTTGCATTAGTTCCAGCAGGAAGCACCAAAGCGGCCTGTCCTAAAATGGGAGAACAACGTGGCATGGCCAGGAAAAGTTGCATTAACTGATAAATCTATTTATTTTGAGGTAACTAATCTGTTTGTAGAGGTGATCTACCATTAATACTTTTGGTTTTTGATTTCTAGAAGTATATACAACATTACTAGAGGTCTTATTAATGTTGGAAAATATTTTTTTTCCAGAAATCATATTTACTAAATTTTTTTTCTTCTTTTCCAGGAAGAGGAGGATGAAAATCCTTATACGATTATGGTTCCTCGAGTCGATTCAGATTTGCTTCCTTTTGTTATTAAGGTACATTGGACATTTAGTTGTTCCAATAGAAAAATGCTAAACTCTTTTTGTTGGAGCAAATGAAACTCTTATTGATATCAGATATGTGTAAAGCTATTCAATTTTCTGTTTATTGGATATATGGATGGGAAAATCTCATTTTTTGTTGTCTTTTCTTGAACACTTGGAAACATGTTTTTTATGAATATTTGAGCGGCTTCATTATTGACATTCCATTTCTATTATTTGATTGCTTCTTACAGCTGAGACAAGTCCTGTGACCAGGTACTCATCGGCGACAAGTCCCTTGACCAGGTACTCCTAATTTCTTCTGCCTTTTCCTATTTGCTATTCCTATTCAATTGGAGGAGTTATACTAATGAATTGAATTGAATTGAATTGAATTGAATTGGGTAGAAACAAACCCATTAGATTAAAGAAGTTCAACACTACTCATTGTTTCTTATTGTAGATAGGGTTGTAAATAGATTTCCACATGTATATAAGTGGTTTGGCTTATCATATATATATTTAAAACTTTCTACATGTTTTATACAGTTTCAAAACCCGCAGCAATGCGCGGGTACTCTTGCTAGTATTAACTTATTCATCTAATGAAAGATTTTCAGTCTCATTTTGGAGTTTGGTGTTGTGAACCCTTTTGTACATGCAAGGTTTATATATATATATGTGTGTGTGTATGTATGTTTATATGCAGGTTTCAAGAAGGTGAAAGTTGCCAGAGACAAGTGTTCCCCATATGCTGCCATGCTTGCAGCAGATGTTTCACAGAGATGAAAGGTCTTGCTCTGTTTTCAATATATTGTTCTTAGCTCTTCGTGTTTTCTTTTGATTGTTCTGTAAAAGATCCGTTTTTCAATTCAGAAACAAGTTGTGGGACTCTTTAAAAGTTATATGCAAGAAGGGATTGTGGTTAAGTGAGCCTCATTGCATGAAGAACTTGGGTCCAACGCCTGTAGTGGGAGGATGGGATTCTGAAGGACTTGGTTGTTAATTACGTAGGATTTGTCGTAAATTATGTGGGATTTGTTGTAAATTATGTGTGATTTTATGAAAATTTTAAATTTTTTGTTTTATTTCAACTTATTACATTTTTATTTTTTCTTGAACATAACATATTTGGCACGATTTGAAAATTGTGCTCTATATATTTGGGTCTGTCATCTGACATATGTTGGTGCCCTTTGGTATCATAGGGCACAAATAACTTACTGTGCATAATGCCCATATTTTTTGTAGTGCTGCCCCTACACGTTGTTAAGGGTTTAAATGATAACAATGAAGTGGCCTCCACACACGTTTTGGATACTCCCAGTTCCTTCTCACGAATCACGATCATGTGGCTGGTCACTTGGCTGAGGCAAGTTTGGTTAGTAATGATACCATCTCGAGTGCGAGAGGTTTGAATGAGGCTTCTCCCTCACATTTTGTGGAGGGTTTAGTTGATGACAATGATACAACCTCGAAACAGGTTTCAGATTCTCCGAATGTTTCTCCCATTAGAGGTATTCAGGTAAACTCTTCTATTGTGTTCTCTGGGAGAAATAGTGCTAATAATTCAATTCAAGCTGGTTTTCCAGTTCAGGTGGCGAGTCATCCTTTATCACCTCAAGTTCATTCTGAAATCAAAAATGTTATTTTTACCATTTATTTGTACCATCACTTATACTATCTCTCCAATAGAGATAGGATCCATATGAGTTAGCGGACCCTACTTCTATTAGAGAGATGGTATAAGTGATGGTACAACTAGATGGTAAGTATAGCACTACTCTTCTGAAATACAAAAAGTCAATGATTGGTACACTACGGCGGAGGAAGATGCTTTTTAAGTAATATTGATGAGCGTGGAAACAATGATTTAGAGCGAGCAAATAATATTTCTAACCAAGTTGAGGATGATATGACTTTGGTGATTTCAAAATCTTAAAAGAGAAAATTACGGAATAATAACGAGAATCTGTCTGATTCTCTTAATTCTGGTTTTATGAAGAATTTAGTGGAAGAGCTTTACATTATTCGTTCTGTTGGCTTTCATGGACGTCCTACAAAGGCTCTAAAAGTTATTGAGGTGTCAGCATTCATGGACATCCTGCAAGGGCTCCAAAATTATTGAGGTGTTCACTTTCTCTCATCATCTTCGTCTTCTTTGACGACGGTGCCTTGGTGGCTTTTAGTTCGTTAGCATAATTGTGGAGTTTTATTATCTTCCATGCAAATTCATCTTTCTCTTAATTTTAAAGAGGGTAATCAAGTTGCTGACTGTCTGGTCAATTATGGTATTGATCACCCTAGTGTTCATGTGTCGGATTCATGCCCTCCTTTTTGCATCTACTTACTCTCATAATTTTTCAGCTTCTTTGTTATAGGTTATGTTAGAAGTGGTTTTGGGTTGTTGTTCATGGCTTTTTAAAGGTCAGGGTTAGGCTTCATGGCCCTCTTGACATTTGTAATTTTGTTGTTGTTTTTAATAAATTTACCTTAGTCTCTTTTCATGATAGCAATGCTGGAGTATGATTGACTTTGCAAATTTTTTGCCAAATAATAATAATAATTCTCGAGCCATATATGACACTAGCATATGCTTACACACTTTGTGTGTGTGAATATTTTTTATTTTGATTTTTGTTTTTAAAATGGGAATGAGAGATGGAGAGAGGGAACGTGGGAGTGGTAGTGAGAGTGAGAGTGGGAGTGGAAAGAGAGGTTTTTTTTTTTTTTTTAATATTACATATATGCTAAAATCACCTGTGAGGCTTCAATAATAAAACAGCAAACTTTGGTTTGTAAAACTACATTATTGCCCATCATTTTTTTTTTTTTTGGTAATAGAAGACTAAATAGTCTTTATACCCTCTTTTGGTTGACAAAAAATGTTCTATTAATAGGTAGTTTAGATATATAAGGTTATAGAGCCCCCTTCAATTGAGGATCCCTAAATTATGTAATGCAAGACTCAGGAGTGGAGTCTATGTAGGTGTGGTAGTTGAGCATCTTGTTCGATTCTTGTCTTCCATAATTGAAAGAAGTTGAGGTTTCACTTCATAATTATTAGTGGTAATAGGGGAAATAGTCCAACTCTTTTTAAGTGCATGCAAGATTCTTTAAGTTTTAGATGTGAAATAACACTTCACATTCTCACACGCCCAAACACGTGTAGCAACATTGAAGGAATTTGAGGTTTCACCCAAAAATATATTGGCAATAAGGAGAGTACCCTAATCGCTTATAAGAACATGCAAGTTTCATTAACTTTCCGATGTAGGAAGAGAGTTCACATCCTCACATGTTCCTTTACGTGTCGCAACACTCAAGCTAAATGTGTAAATTCTAAAACTTTTATGGCAAATAGGCACTCTGATAATATGAAGGAAGTTGACGGGCAACCCTAAAATTTATGGCCAAATATACCTAGGGAGTAACTTAACTCCTTGTAAGCACATGCAAGGTTGTTTAACTTTCCAATGTGAGAACTCTTCACATCTCATAACAATTTTTTAAATATCTCAAGAAAAATTAATATTATATAAATTGAAATGTACGTAACTCGTGTGTATAAACTATTTTAACAGGCACATGCTCCTGCCGATTAGTAGTTTTCACCTTCTTTTTGAAAAGCCTATCTAACCTTGGACGCGAATTTCTTTCTAACTTTTTCAGTAGATTGATCGTGTTTTAGTGCAGTCGAGAATTAAGCATTTACATGCTGATACCTTAATAAATAAGGAAAACTAATGAAAATAGTTTGAAAATGTGGAAAACTTAAAAGTTAGTAATTTAGAAGGAAGCCAAGAGCGTGCATGGCATTGTGTAGGTTTTGTACGAAATTGCAATGTAATATCGTCAGTCCATTTAATTTCGATGGCTTGTAGATCAAGATTTTGCTGCACAAGAAACAGGACATATTTAGGTGTCCGTTTATTCTCTCTCACACACACAGAAGAATGCATGTCATGAGCCCATTACCAAAGGCAAGCATGTTAAATTCAAAACCAACTTGATCACACTGCCATGTCCAATTGTCCATGATGAATTCATATTCATTTTTTACCTTCAAATTAAAAATAAATAAATAAATAAAAAATTAAGAGGCATAAATAAGTAGACGTGTGTGAAAACTATTTCTCTTGTCAAATACAAAAATATTGTTTATGGATTAGGATGTTTAGGCACACTTGATTAGGCTTTTTATTTTATTTGATCCAACAATAATAAAATGAATGACCTGGCAAACAGCAACAACTAAAAAAATCACTTTGTTATGAAATTTTCAATGTTAATATATATTCACATACCCACCTAATTAACCTTGCAATACTACTAATATTAATTTAAATAAGAGAGAAACTTACATCCAACGGGTTATATACAACCCTCGTAAAAACAAAAGTCATAGAGACAGAAAAAATGTTGTATGTAGTGTTGGATATAAGTCAACAATCTGTGATAATTTATATATGCTAATAAATAATAAATGCAATAGAAACTAACAAAATATAAACTAGAATATGAATTATAAAACAGACAACTTGAAGATCGAGGCTTGCGTACCGCAATGTCCTTGAAACAGAAATTTCGTCCCTACTCTGTGCTTGTAGTTCTACGGACGTCTGCTTCACCAGGATTCAACGATCAAGTTAAAATTCCAGCACCGGAAAATTTAACTTCTGGCGAATTTAGTGTGGTTCTCTCAGTAAGAAGGTTTATGAATGTAGAAGATGAAATTTATTATTTCTGTGTTCTAAATGCTATGCAGATGTATGTATATATAGCAGATAGATGCATGTTTGCAACAGGTATAAGAATGGGGTGTGACTGTTGGGAGACATCTCTTCAGAAGGGTGCTTTGCTCTGTGTTCAGAAAGAACTCTCAGACTTCATCTGAAAAGATGAGTCTTTTCATAAAAAAAATAATTAATTAATTAAATTCGAATTTAATTAAAAAATAATTAATTAAATAATTTAATTATTAGAGTCCAAGAGCCCCAAGGCCCAAGGCCCATCTTTTGACAATTAAATATATATTAATTATATATTAATTATAATTAATTATATATTAATTACCAATTAATTATTACACCCCAAAGCCCAACCCCAAGGGTGAACCCAATTTTAGTCTCCAGGCCTATTACTCCAATCACTTTCTTTAAAGGACAAAACCTTATAAAGTGATAAAATCTTTTGGGAATGGCCAATGTGGGACAAAGAAATTTCTACTCAAACTACTCAAATTTCCAACAATACCCCACATTTGAGTTGAAATTTCATTCAAACTCCAACAATGACCCCACATTTGAATGCAAATGTAAATGCAAATGTGTGACTAGGCGGTATGACTAGGCTGCCTAAAACTGAGAGAGAATAGTCATGATATGCATCGGGTGAAGTGTCTTTTGGACTTGAACTTACCCTAGTGAAAACATATCGGGTTTACTTGGTGACGCAGTGGATGTGGAAGATCTTGAACTGTTCACCGCAGTAGTAAACCAAGACAATATGCTACACACATCATGGCTGCCACACGTCAATTCATACGGTTGTGTTCATTTTGACCCTGAACAGATCCCGGATTTCGTAGGAGCTTTAGAGAATTTAGCCATGTCAATTCTCATAAATGTGGCCCCATTTACTCCTATATAGGTGACATTAATTAAGAATAGTCTGCCATATTCCTCTTGATAACAAGATATTAATGTCATTAAATGTATAAAACATAACCCCTCAAACGTCAACAGACAACACACATTTTATCATAAAAATGGGTAAGTTGTGTGTTCAACTTTTGAATCAAACTCAACCAGTTTGCCTATTGAACCTAGACCATGGGATCTCCAATCAGCTAGGTTAGGTTTCCGCCCAGTTCGATTCATTGAATTGGCTTAAGACCCATTCCCCTCGATGTAAATAATATTTGCTCTCTTGGTAGGCCTTTTGTCAAATGATCAGCTATATTTTCCTTTGACTTCACATAATCAATGGATATTATTCCATTGGAGAGCATCTTCTTAAGAGTATTGTGTCGACGTCTGATGTGACGTGACTTCCCATTGTATACATGACTTTTGGCCCTTGATTGGGCGGCCATACTATCACAATGTATACATATAGCCGTTACCGGCTTTGGCCACATTGGAATATCCTCCAGAAAATGTTTGAGCCACTCGGCTTCTTCGCCAGCCAAGTCTAAAGCTATAAACTCGGACTCCATGGTGGACCGAGCTATACATTTCTGTTTAGAGGATTTCCAAGATATTGCTGCACCTCCCAAGGTAAAAACATATCCACTTGTCGACTTGGATTCTGTAGTGTCAGAAATCCAATTGGCATCACTGAAGCCTTCTACAACAGGTGGATATTTTGTGTAGTGTAATCCGTAGTCAAGTGTATTTTTCAAATACCTTAACACTCTTACTAAAGCATCCCAATGCTCTTGTGCTGGATTACTTGTATATTTACTAAGCCTACTTACTGCATAAGCTAAGTCGGGCCTAGTTGAATTCATCAAGTACATTAGACTTCCAATTACTTGAGAATATTCAAGTTGAGATTTGGCATCGCCTTTATTTTTCTCCAACTTGCATCCAGCATCAAAATGAGTCGCAGCAGGTTGGTAGTCAAATTGACCAAACCTTCGTAATATTTTTTCTGCATAATGGGATTGTGTAAGGACATATCCTTCACTATTTCTCTTAATTTGAATTCCTAAAATGACATCGGCTTGACCTAAGTCTTTCATGTCAAAACTTGAATTCAACATTTTCTTTGTTTTGTTTATTACATCTTTATTGCTTCCCATTATGAGCATATCATCCACATACAAGCAGATAATAACACAAGTTTTATCATTACCTTTAATGTAGACACATGTATCAGATTCATTTATTTTGAACCCATGTGTCAACAAAGTATGATCAAACTTCTCGTGCCATTGTTTTGGTGCTTGTTTAAGTCCATATAATGACTTAACTAATTTGCACACTTTGCTTTCTTGTCCTTTAAGCACAAACCCTTCAGGTTGTTCCATGTATATTTCTTCATCTAGTTCTCTATTTAAAAATGTTGTTTTTACATCCATTTGATGGATATCAAAGTTGTATACAGCCGCAATCGCTATTAACGTCCTAATTGACGTTATGCGAGAAACTGGAGAATAGGTGTCGAAATAATCCAACCCTTCTTTTTGGCGATAACCTTTGGCTACTAAACGTGCCTTGAACTTGTCAATGGTTCCATCCGCCTTGAGTTTCTTCATGAAAATCCATTTATGACCAATTGGTTTACTACCGGGAGGTAAATCAACCAATTCCCATGTGTTATTTTCCATAATGGATTCCATTTCACTTTTAATTGCTTCCTTCCATAAAGGAGCCTCAGAAGAAGACATTGCTTCTTTAAAAGTTCTAGGTTCATTCTCGGACAAGAAAGAAATGAAATCTGGTCCAAAGTTTTTAGAAACTTTGATTCTTTTTCCTCTTCTTGGTTCCACATCATTTCC